TCAAAAAAGTTACAATACTATCATTACCATTATAAATTAATATGTCTGTTAACATTATCTAGTATGTTGGCACACTGGATGGAAAGTTACACATACATCCTCTTGTTCATCGAGTAAATTCTAGAAAAAAAAATATTATAGAATTAGATGGTTCTGCAATCTATACAGTTTATTCTAATCATCTTGCTAAATTTCCATTAATTGTATTGTGTAAGAAAGGCATTCATGTGATTACAACTCAATCAAATGAAGTAACATTCACAGCAATATCACCACCACATAATACAAATGTTTTAACGATGGGAGTGAATTTAGAAATTGGGGTTGTTGGATTATTATGTGATAATGAAATGACACTTTATTCTATTTAATTGATGTGATGATTGTTTTTATTTAAAGAGAATTATAAAGAATTGAAAAGAAGAAAAAGGAATTGTAAAAAGAAATTATAAAGAATAATAAAAAAACCATAAAATATAGTAAAAGAAAGAAGAATCGAAAGAAAAAAAAGAAATAGATAAAGAAAGTTGATATTAAAAAGTAGTTAACAAAGAATGCCACATAGTAGACTAATTCTTTCAGAACTACCAATAGATACGAAAAATAAAGTTATTATATCTCCACTTTATACACACATTTGTTGTCAAGAAGAAAATACATTAAAAATAGTAGAAATTTCAAGTAAGAAAGAAACAATAATTTCTGAAGTAAAAGAATTTATTACAGTGTTATTAGGAAAGAATGAAGGAGTAGTATATTATACTAAGAAAAGTATTGTTTTTCATGGATTTAATTCAGGGGATTTTATTCTTACAGAATCATTAAATGATGAAAAATTAATTTTACATTCAACTTATGATGCATTTCTTGTGTGTATCTTTCGTCCATATAGAGTTGATGTTATTGGATATAATTCAACATTTAGACCATCAATGTTATCTCCATTCAAAAATTATTTGTTACACTCATCACAAAATAACATTTTAGCAGTAATTACAGCTGATAAAAAATTACATTTATTCATTCCTCGTGTTCCACCATTTTCAGTTACATTAACATTTTTAACATCTCTTCCAAAAAAGTTTACCTTTACTTCAGAATTAGAATATTTTGCATTTATTTATGATGATAAAGTTGTAATATTTAGAAATAGAAATAGTATTCAAATGACTCAAATGAAACTTAGTCAAATTGATTTTTTCTTTCAACTTTCTGCACAAAATTCAAATTCATTTATGGTTATTAATGAAAAAGATGTGTCTGATGTTTATCTTAGTTCAACTTCTGTTTTATGTGTTATAGGAGAAAGTATTAAAACATATAATATTTGTGATATAAAAGAAGAGCCATTACTATCTACAGGAGTAAAATCATATTCATTTATTGGATATGGAGGATGTGGATCAATTATTATGTTAGAAAATAAAAACATTATTTGTTATGTTAGAGATGTACAATCAGATAGTCTTCTGAGAGGAATGATTAGTCTAGGATTTGAGAAAATGTGGACAAAGTTAGTAAATTCAAATACTGAATTACAAAATGCAGATCGAAAGTTAATTGAATTTGAAGACTCAATGAGAGGACTTCGTTTAGATAGTGCAAAGAAATTATTAGAAGAAATGAAAGATGTTCAAGTTTCACAAGCATTAAAGATTACAGAAGATTATTATAATTCAGGAGTAGAAAAGAAAATGTATTATAGAGACCTTTCTATCATTGCAGAGATTGGATTGGCATGTATTGTGAAAGAAATACATAACAACAACAAACAAGGAATTATGAAATATGCAGAAAATGAAACAAAATTTGTTGAAACAATTTTAATGGAAGAAGATATGTTACTTTCTAATGAAAAACAACAAATAAAGAAAGAAGAAAGTATGATGAGAAAATCAGGGAATTTTGAAAATATTTCAGAACAAACGAAGATTGGATTATTAGATGGAATTATGAATGGAAATATGGTTACAACAATGAATAAGTATGGATTTAAATCAGAAGAAATTAAAGAATATTGTATGAAATTTGTATATCAATTTGTTGCTAATCAGAAAATCAAAGAAGCTATTCATTTATTAATGAGACTAGGATACAAAGACATTAAATTAATTATGAAAGAATTATATGATAATACACATTTAATGATTATTAGAAAAGAAATTGAAAATATAATGAAAGAAGTATTAATTGAGGAGAATAAATACATGAATGAATATGAAGAATATTTAGATAAAACAAAAATTGAAAAGAAATATGAAATACAAATAAAAGAAATAAATGAAACACAAGAACAATTAGAAAGTGAATTTACAAATGAAACAATGAAGAATTATGGAATGTCATATGAGCAAGGATTTTCAGATAATATTGCTATTATTCCACGAATTGATAATACAAATGGAAAAGCAATAGGATTAAGTATTAAGGATATTGAACAATTAGATGAAGAAGAAAAAAATATGATTCTTAAAGAAGAGGGGAAACATGAAACAGAAGATATTGAAATTCAATTTAATTTATTACATGGAAAAATAAAAGAAATTGAAGGAATACTTAATACAGGAAAAGAAGAAAATGTTAAAAAAATAAATGAAAAGAAAGAAATTACACCATTAATTGTTAGAAAGAGTATTAATACATATATGATAACACATCCAAATGAAGAAATGATTAATAAAGCAGAAAATGAAGGAATTAACAATGAATTAATGAGAATGTTATTAATTGGAAAGAGTGAAGTTAAAAGAAAGTATTTAGATATGATTCAAGGTATTGAATATCTTCCAACATTTTGTGAAATTAAAGAAAGGTATCATAATACAGAAGCTCCACAACAATGGATGAAAAAAATTATTCAAATGGATGAATGGAATGATGAAAATGAAGAAAAAGTTATAAATAATAAAATTGATATTCAAAAAGAAGAACCAGAAGGATGTGAAATTATACCGTTATATGAGACATTAATGAAAACAGAATATAAACCAATGGAACCATTTAAAATGCCATTTCCACAGAAAGAAATAAAAAGATATGAAATGAATTTAAAAGATTATTTAAGTGATAAAAGAATTATTGAAGTAATTAGAAATAAAGAAGTAATGGAAGAAAGTAAGAATATTCTTTTATTTAATAAAGATATGAGAGAAATGGCAAGTTTTATTAAAGAGTTTTTAGGAGATAAATATATTCGACTTAATATGCTTATTGCAAATGTAATTGAAGAAGATGGAAATCAAGAATATAAGAATATAATAAGAATTGAAGAATTAGATAAACAAGAAGATAAAATAGAATTTCTTAAATATTTAGAAAGAAGAGCAGAACCTATTAATCTTGCTAATGAATTAAGAAATTATTTAGCAAATAGATGGGGATTAGAATTAAGTGAAAGACAAATTGAAATTATATGTGAGAATGAGAATTTAATACAATTATTAGAAAGTAGTGATGAACATGGATATAGTAATACTCTAATTGATAAATGTGTAAAAGAAAATTGGCCAGAATCACCATTAAAAAGTCATATTGAAATTAATGAAAATGAAGAATTTTTAAGTCAAAGTATTGGAGTTATTATGAAAGGATTTTGTAATGAAGAAGAAAGTGGATTAAGTTATATGAATTGGATATTTGAAGATGGAGAAAGGACATTATTATTATTGAGGTTTTTTGAAAGTGCAATTATTGGTAAAACATTACAAACATGTCAAACAGATAATATAGAAGAAGGATTAATATATGTAATTAATCAATTAATTGATCATGAATTTAAATGTGATAGAATTATTGAAGGATTTGAATTCTTTGATAGAAATAATCCATTAACATTTTTCTTTAAGATAGTCCATTTTATTTCTATTGCTAGTTTTGGAGAAGTTATTCAATTAAAGAAAAGACTAAATGAAGCAATAATAAATAAACAATGGAAAGTTGGAACAATAGAAAATATTATAAAAATTATGAATTGTATTATCATAAAGTTTATTAAATTACATATTTCATCACCTGAATTGATTGAAAGATTATTAAAAGAATTATTAACAATTGAAGAATTACCAAAAGAAGTTATTCAAATATGTAAAGAAAGAAAAGAAATAAATAAATTAATTGATCAATTTGGATTAAAGTTAGAAAGAGATTGTCAAAAAGAAGAAATTGTTAATGAATTAATCATCAATGGAGAATATATTGTGGCACATTCATTTGCTGTAGAATATGTTCCTAATGATATTTTCTTACCAATTCAAAAAGAGATTGAACAAATGATTAAAAAAGATAAATTAAAAGGAAAAGAACGTTGGGATAAAATAAATGAAATCATTTGTAAAAGAACATGTAGATTTGTTGATGCAGGAAAGTATTTCTTTGATGAAGCAATACGAATGAATTCATATCAAGATTATGAAAGAAAATATAAAGACATTGCAAATGAAATGTTAATAATTTTAAATTATTCATTAGAATGGTTAAATAAAGAAGAAGGTAGTTGTAAAGAAGCACAAGATATGATTAAAAAGGCAGAAAAATTAAGACATATTTATGAAGAAAGTAAAAGTAAAAATATTGGAGCAGCATGTATTGAAAAAGCAAGTGAAGAATCAGTTTATTATCTTGTGAATAGAGGTGATTATAGTTTAGCAATGATAATGAATGAAAAAATTAATTGTAGTGAAATGAAAATATTTAAAGAAGGATATGAATTTATTATTAATCCACAAAGTTATACTATCCCAATAAATGAAGGAATTGAATATCTTGAAAAACTTATAAAACAAAGTAGTCAAATTAGAAGAGGAATTCAAATATTAAAAATGAGGTATTTAATTGTATATAAATATTATCCCGATAAATCAGTTATTTTAGCATTATTAAGAGACTCAAGTGTATTTAGAAGTAAATTATTAGATGTTGTTAGTACTATATGTGGAATAACTACATTAAAACAATTTGCATCAAAATTAACACGATGGAATTTAATTTTTGAAGAAACAAAAGAATTTATTAATTGGGAATTAATAGAAGATAAAGAATTAGTACCAATATTATCAAGATTATATGTTGATATGGCATTAAATGTAAAACCAATTTGTATTACAGGATATCCAGTAAATATTATTAAAGGATTTTTAGGATTATTAAAAGATCCTGAAAATATAATTGAAATAATGTTACAATATTGTAGTGAAACAGAAAATTATTTTGTATTATCTGAATGTTTTTCATGTTGTTATATTGCAGGAGAAATAAAATGTTCATCAGAAATAATGAGAAAATTAATGGAAGTAATTTCAAAAAGAATGAAAGAAATGTTAGAAACACAAAATTTAATTCATTTTATTAGATTTGCAGTAAAAACAAAAACATT